TACGTTTACAGGGTCAGGTCAAAAAACGACCATCCAACGGTGGCCAGCTTTCTCACATCTGGCCATGTGTGTGAATTTTGTTCTGAGGAATACCGGGTATCACATGTCAGCACCTTCATATATGAAGGGCTCTCGCAAAAGATGCAGGAAGCAGTATTGGCGACGTTTAGGACATAATCATACCACATGCGTCCAAAGATAGATATGATAATCGAAAGAAATTACATATCAAGTATATAGTCAATGAGATATCAGTCAACTTTTAAAAGGAATATTGTGCGCTTTTGGCGTTTTTGGCAGGAGCACGACCTTGGAAGTCCCTGCATCATGTGCGCGGTGGAGGGAAATCATTTTAAAGAAAAAATACAGCTTACTGTATGTTTTCAGACGAGCCTGTACGCCTTTTGGCGATTCAGGACCGTTGGAGATGCTCTAAGGCTGTACAATCATGGATCTGGTCTTTGAAACAATCGAATGTCACACATCCTTCATTATTGTAAAAAGTTGCACGCATTTCAAGGGGTGTAATTTTCAGCATTGGTACATATGCCCACAGTCTAGATGTTTGTAACGTCACTGACTGTGAATGCCAGGTGAGACGAGGCTATACTCGTCACATCTGCGGTATTCTGTTTGCTGAAGACCGCTGCAGCCGTGAGCCTTTGGCCAATCGCCCGGTCCGGCTGTACAAGTTCATCTGACATCAGTTCATAGTGTGTATTGCACTATTGCTAATAGAGCTGGAGGATAGATCGCTTACTTGCACTGCAACTTGATCCAGGGAAATGTCTGATACTACGGTCTTCACAAACTAGCCAGTGCAATTGAAGACATGCAGTTGGATCGATAAATTAAGATCACAGTTCCGATTGTGTTCGCGAGCCCTGCAGGAAAAACTTTACTTACCAGCATAGCCGTTCTCATACTTGAATGATGCGCTGCATGTCATGTCGCCTTGATTAAAATGAATCAAGTTGAAAATGACAAAGACAATCATGAAGTGGTGGCAAGTACTGAAATTCATCTTGATAAAGGAAGTGGGATTTGGAGAGGAGATTGTGTAGATGATGCAGAGTTCACCAAAATTTAGAGGAGGAGGGATCTCAAAGAGCTTTTGAAGACTGAAATTATAAGGATGAGAAGCACAGACACTCGCTGGTGTTTCGAGGGGAAATTTGGACAAGCGTTTTGAATTCGATAATTTCAATCTTTGGGTGATGTGTTCAAGAGTCAGAAGCAAACTGTTGATAGATTCGCCAACTGGTGCTCGCCGCTCTCCTGTGCTCTGAAGAGCACCGCCAACCACCCACCGCTGGACACGTCAATTTTGCATAGCGACATTTATGACACAAATGTAGTCATTTATGTTTCCAAATCGTTTCCGAGAGAAATTTGGCCATGGGTGTGACTGTGGCTGTGACTCCCTGAAGTCATTCTACCAGCGTGATCTGCGTCAACTATTGGAAATCTCTGTACTCCCACAAAGAGATGACAGACAGATGTCCGTTCGAAATTCCTTTTTGAACATTTGGAAACACTTTGCTTTTTCCGCCAACCGCAATACGTAAGCCTCATCACACATAATTGTTTCTATGAGCCGGAAACGAGGAAACGACAGAAAGCTTAAAATGTGTTGTCTCATGGTATGGCGTGCGAGAAGCAGCGAGTGACTTGGAGTTGGACCCTCACATCATCCATCCTCATTTATTGCACACAATTATTCCGCTCAAACCTTTTGTACAGTGTTTACGCGAGACAGTCATTTGTAAAATATATAAAAACAAACTACATAATCTTCAATTGGTTTGTGTGATATTTGTGTTGATTATCTTGTCTAAAAACACGAGATGCATTGTTTGTAATTCTTGCATCCCAGGTACTTCCAAACATTTGATGTGAAAATGAAGACAAACATCACACAAACCAATTGAAGATGAGCAGTTATGAAAAGGGCTTCATAATGAAATATGTGATTCTCCGCATGGCGCACACTTTTTAATAACAACTTCCCTTGATAACTCCACATCATTAACCACATATTCCAGCATCTTGATACCAAAAAGTTCTTATTCCTCCAACTCAAGCATAAAAGTCACTCAAACTCATTAATGATGAATGATTTTTGAAAAAGTTTTATAATGAGAAAGCTGTGTGGCTGCATGAGGAGCAACTTATATTATTGACTCATCTTTCAAAATCTTCATCTTCATCTCCATATTACCAATTTGAGACCCAAGTTGGTACTTACCCTCCCCCTCAACCATAAAAATCACTCAAACACTACACTTTGATGATGGAGACTTTTTGGAAAAGTGCTACAATAAAAAAGTTGTGTGTCTGCATGATGAACAATTTTTGTTATTCACTTCTCTTTCAAAATATGTGTCTTCACCTCCATATTACCAATTTGAGACTCAAATTGGTACTTTCCCTCCCCCTCAACCATAAAAATTACTCAAACACTCTGAAGATAAAGCGGTAAGAGAAAATCACAATGATGAAAAAAGTTTCTTTACTTCTCCAATCAAAGTCTATAGTATTGAAATCTCTGTCTAAATCTTCATCTTTACTACTTGCACTCCCTTTTTGATTTTTTTGCTCCTTCTGCTCTGGGATAAAATTTATACAAAGCACAACATGAATGCACCTCCAAGCTTAGGTTCCCGTGTGAGGAGATGATAACTCAAATTCAATGGCTGGTTGTTGTGATATCAAACTTACCATGTTGTTTGATAAATTCTCTTTTTGTCCTTTGTGTCAAGGATTTCCGGTGTCAAGTCTAATTACGCTCATCAAGAACAGTTATATTACATTAAGTAGTATGAAGATATGTACACAGCTAGATGAGATTAGTAAGGTGTGGATTATGGATTGATTGATTGTGTATTTATTGTGTCTGTTTTGGTAATAAGCCGTTTGTGACTTGAGTTGTTTCTTGTTCTTTTAGGGTGCGTTCACTTAAGCGATTTCTGGGGAGAAATCGCATTCCGTAAATTCTTTAATGCAAAAATGAAACATATGCTACCAAATAGACATTTTAAATTTTGCAGAATGTGATTTCTCACCAGAAATCACTTAAGTGAACACACCCTTAGTGTTTTATTCCCTTTTCTGTTTTTTGTCTAATATAAATACTGCTTGTTGTCCTACACTCAGATTCTTTTCTCTTATCAAAAAGAATCTGTAAGTGCTCCCTCTATATACTACCATCTCAACATACAACTAACCACTATCTACTACTACTTCTAATAGTTTTGGTACACTTTACTCATCTTTTTCAAACATGATCTTATATCATTGTGACACCTGTTGCTTATGCACAGGTTTGGTCTCTTATATTAGCTCATTTGTAGCTTACAGATTGTTGCCGTACTTACACCTGACCTGATTACCCCAGGTTTAATTTTTCAACAGCAAACTCACTCAAGCTCCTCTGAGCCAATTACCTTGAGACTTTACACTACTTTGTTACTACAAAAATTTTATAGCACTTCATCTTCACTACTTGAGCTGACTTTTTGAATTATTTGTGCCTTCCATTCTGGGCTAAAACTTGCAGGAAGTGCCATTAGAAGCTAGGATCAGGCTTATTGTCCCCTGTGGGAGGCACCTGTGTCACCTGTATCAATTGACATACCAGCCAGTAGTAAATGACACATTCCCATCGACGTATAAGCCGATTCCTTGCAGCAGAGCACTTCAGGTGACCTGGAGCACAACTTTTAGTCCCTCCAAGGTCAGGTCTTCCAATCATCTTCTCACACCAAACCTTTCAGAGAGCCTTAAAACAGCTCTGTGCAAAGTTTCCACTCAAAAAAATTACTTTGAGGTAGCAAACTTGACCATCAACATGACCAGGTCAAAAATCTGTTCTGTCAGGTCATAAATCTGCTCTGTCAGGCCACAAATGTGACCTGGAACCTTTCAGAGCGCTCTGAGGGACTTTAAAAAATCAAACTTGAACATCAAGTCAGACAGGTCAAAAAAGTGATCTGAAAGTCCCTCATAGCACTTGAGGGACCATATGCGACTCTTTGAGCTCAGCGGCTGTCCAAGTCGTCTTTGCCTTTACACTACATTTTCAACACTTTACACTACGTTTTCAACACTTTCAATGGCTACGACTCCGCACCAGAGTCCCCTGATCACATCCAGCACTGAATGCCATCTTCCCAAATCATTCACTTGCTCACAAAGTCCAAAGTCGCTCAACTAGAACCTTAACCAAAATCAAACTTCACTACTTACTCAATCTCACCCGATCTCACAGCGCTTAAACCTGCAGCTCACACCACCAATCAGTCACACCTTCAAATCAGCAGTTGAGAAAAATTCAACCACAAGATAATGGACATCACAACATATCGAAGCAACCATTGTACTGTTATAGATCACACTAACGCTCTCAAAACCATCAATATTGTCACACAATTTGTTCATGATGTTCATGAACCTGTTTATTTGATTGTTCCTGTTTGTTCATAAACCTGATTATTCAATTGCAATTTATATGTAGATTGTTTCATCTTCACTTTCAAGTCATAAAACGTTATCAAGCAACATAACAACCAGATGAAACTACAAGTCTGAGGAGGGAAACTACAAGTCTTAGTTGTTGCAACACGCCTAATACAACAAACGACAGCTATTTGAGATGGAGCGTGTAAAAATAGAAAACTAAAGAGTGGCCTGCGATTCGGTGACAAAGAAATTGATTTGTTATTGAGTATTCCAAATGAAACAAAACCAAAGCGTGGCGCGGTCTGTGAGACTGATCGATTTGGATCTGTAATGAACCAATTCTAATAGTCTACTGTAAATAGAAAGCTATGAGCGAGATTTTAGGGGACCATTCAGCTCCTTTCAATGCAACAGTAACAGTTGCAAGAAGAGTGGCAAATTATCTTACACTGCCTTTTTTTCTCTCGCTCATCACTCATCCATCTAATCATCATCAGGCTGATTGTCACTTTCTTCCTCACTTTCAGAGCCTGATTCATCTTCTAACGTGCTGGAGTCACCCAACTCTTCATTTGGCCCCTTGTTCTTCCCCGCGGCTAAGCTCTTGAGGTACAAACGAGATTTACTTGCCCCCTAGTTATGCAAGCAAGAATCGATCATAAGGTCTGATTAGAACTCTACAATATGAGTTCGATTAAGTGGATTCAAAAGACTTACATTGTTTTGCTTGCGAGCAGTCTCTTGACTTTCTGGAGACTTTTGTTTCTTTTTTGTTTTGGAACTCCCTTGCTGAACATGATTCGATTCGGACTGTGTAGATTCTATTCTATTTGACTGAGTGTTATCAATCACTTCCTCACCATCATTGATAAGTTTAGGTTCAATTACAAATAGACCATCTTCGATGTCTTTTAACCAAACTTGAATGACTGCATCGGTTGCTTTTCAATGGCCTTTCAATAGGTTGGTCGGACTAAGTTTGCTACCTGGCTTCTGGATTACTTCGATTGGCCATCCCCTCTTCTTGATGTGCGCGATAGGGTCAGGCATCTTTGGAAACGAAGTTTTATTGATGTGAGCTCCTGGATGACAAATACCACATGAGCAACAACACTTCCAAACCCATGAAAAGAGCATCAATCACTACATACCAAACATCTCATTGAGTTGGTGAGTTAGTCGGCTTTTTCGCTCGTCGCTTGCTTGCGGCACTTTGGCTTCAATCTCTTTAGCCACTTCTTGTCCGTGGATATAGGTTGTAAACTTGGAAGGGATTTTCGGAGTCTTCAGTGCCCAGTCAGCGAACTTGATGTTGTTGGAAAAGGTTTGAGACCATCCATCAACTCCACCGCAGCTTGCGGAAGTCAAGTAATACGAGATATGGTGCTGTTGACAGATGACCGAAAACTGACAACAATCAAACAAGGCAAGTCAGTATGAATCATGTGGAGTGACAAAAGTCAGATTAAACTTACGTCATGATGTGCTTTACGTACAGCAACTAAAGACCGCTTTTGTAAAGTCGCAACCGAAGTCGATTTTTCTGGCTTGCCGTGGGAGAGGTGCAACTTTTCCACATTGACCAGCTTTTCAAAGAGGGGCTGATATTTGGCTTTTTCTTCCTCTGAGAGCTGATGGACTTTCGGAGCAGGAGTAGTACTGTCGAACTGGTTTGTATTGATTCCATTCTTGTCATTGTCGCCCTCGCCCCCTTGATCATTGCCAACTACAGCAGTTGAATAGTCTGGAAGATTAGCTAGAGCAAAGAAGTATGGATCTTTGAAAACGTCCTGCTCATCCTGGCTTAGATCATGCCATTTCTCAGCCATCTCCTGATTTCGAGCTACCCAGGCGTCTTTATCATTGCGTTCGGGCACTGTCAAACATTTTCACAAGTGGGTATTTGATAACAAACGATGAGTAAGTGAAGTTTGAGAAAACCGATGATAGTGCAGTCATAAATTGGAAATTCATACTTTTAGTACCCAAACATTTCAAACAAAAACTCAAGAAACGTATCCAGGGGTTTGCCTTCACGGTTTTGGACCCTAACCCTCTGTAATTAGTTGGAAAGAAGGTATTGGAATGTTTAGAATCAGTTTGATGAAAAATTGAGACAAGTAAAAAATTAAAAACGACATGAACAAAATAAACAAAATAAACAAAATGAATTACACTAATTTCCATATGACAACCTCCGGTACTCCGGCCATCAGAGCAATCATGAGCATACGTTTTTCAAATTCCATTCGCATGATTTCCACAAGATCCCGAACCTCCTTGTGTACTTTAGTACGTCGAGACTCTTGTTTCTGTAATGCTTCCTGGAGCTTGACAAGTGACCAATTGTCAAGTTCTTGTTCGAATGTATCAAATTCCAAACCGGGGAATCGTGATTGAAAGACACGATTCGATTCTTTAGCGTTAGTTTGGGTGGCTGATGGGTCCTCAGTCTCAGTAGCGTTTTTATCAATAGGTTGATCTTCATCTGCCTGTGAATCTTCCTCGTCATCTGAATCTCCGGTGCCGGATTTCCGGCTTGAAGTGGCTGTTCTTTTGCGTTTACAAGAGGTAACCCGAGAAGTCTTCTTCTTGGGTGCGACGGATGAAGGTTTGGTTTTCGCAGTCTTAGATTTTTTTCCTTTTGAGCGAGTGGAAGGCATTATAGTATCAAAAAGCGGTTAAAGTCGTGAGTGGGTTGGATTGGAAATTGGTGCAGTGAATGGTTGGTAAGTGAATGGTTGGCGAAAAGATCTTTGAAGTCTTGATAAGTGAAATCAAGGCACATACAAGTTTCAATATCCGTGTGAAATCAAGACAGGATCCGTGTGAAATCAAGACAGGTGAACTTTTGATGTACAACACCTGATCCTATCCCAGCTCTCCCAGTAGTACAAAACTTCATGTCTACAGGACACGAGTTCTTCAAAGAAGGCCAGCTGTCTCAATGGACATGAGAGAGTCTCAAACGCAAGCAAGTATTGTCCTTGATCATATTCTTCCATCCTTGTTTGCCCGGCAGTTGGATCAATGATGGTTGATGAGAGGTGAGTTCCTTCAATTGTGATTGCAATATTTGCTCACTCACATCTACCAACCATTATATGAGTGTTTATGGGAAGTAAGACACTATACAAATTGAACTAAATCATTCATGATGATATTAAATATCACACCACCTATCAAAGCAAATCACCGATTTGCAATCTTTTAGGGCTTTTGGTCGCTGAAGTTGTTTCTAAGAAAAACAACCAAGAGGATGTTAAAGTATAGCTTATAGCTATAAGCTATAAGCTATAAGCTGGTGCTAGATGTAGTATTTTGACCTGTTTGATTAGAGAGACTGGCTCTGAAATGGAATACTGTGTGGTCAAGAGAGATTGAAGCTATTTTGTGTTGGGGTTACATGTGTTTGACGGAGTTCCAATAAACCTTTCCACAAGGGGTGATTGAATCACCCCTATGTGCAAATACATGGCACAAATTACCAAATGTTAAAGTTTTTTGTTCAGATACTTAGGGGGAATTTTGTTGTTGAGCGGGAGAAGAATACCTGATTTTTGAGATTGAATGGCTGATTCCAGGATGAAGATGGTGAGTTATGAAAAAAAGTCCAGAATGAAAAATGCTGGGCGTGCTGGGAAGAACATAAACTCAGGAGGAAACATGAAATTGAGCACATGTTCAGACACTTAGGGGGAATTTCGTTGTTGAGCGGGAGAAGAATACCTGATATTTGAGATTAAATGGCTGATTCCAGGATGAAGATGGTGAGTTATGAAAAAAAGTCAATAATGAAAAATGTTGGGCATGCAGGGAAGCACATAAACTCAGGGGGACACATGAAATGGGCTCATGTTCAGATACTTAGGGGGAATTTTGTTGTTGAGCGGGAGAAGAATTCCTGATATTTGAGATTGAATGGCTGATTCCAGGATGAAGATGGTGAGTTATGAAAAAAAGTCCAGAATGAAAAATGCTGGGCGTGCTGGGGAAGAACATAAACTCAGGAGGAACATGAAATTGAGCACATGTTCAGACACTTAGGGGGAATTTCGTTGTTGAGCGGGAGAAGAATACCTGATATTTGAGATTAAATGGCTGATTCCAGGATGAAGATGGTGAGTTATGAAAAAAAGTCAATAATGAAAAATGTTGGGCATGCAGGGAAGCACATAAACTCAGGGGGACACATGAAAATGGGCTCATGTTCAGATACTTAGGGGGAATTTTGTTGTTGAGCGGGAGAAGAATTCCTGATATTTGAGATTGAATGGGTGATTCCAGGATGAAGATGGTGAGTTATGAAAAAAAGTCAATAATGAAAAATTTTGGACGTGCTGGGAAGCACATAAACTCAGGAGGAAACATGAAATTGAGCACATGTTCAGACACTTAGGGGGAATTTCGTTGTTGAGCGGGAGAAGAATACCTGATATTTGAGATTAAATGGCTGATTCCAGGATGAAGATGGTGAGTTATGAAAAAAAGTCAATAATGAAAAATGTTGGGCATGCAGGGAAGCACATAAACTCAGGGGGACACATGAAAATGGGCTCATGTTCAGATACTTAGGGGGAATTTTGTTGTTGAGCGGGAGAAGAATACCTGATATTTGAGATTGAATGGCTGATTCCAGGATGAAGATGGTGAGTTATGACAAACACTCAATAATGAAAAATGTTGGGCATGCAGGGAAGCACATAAACTCAGGGGGACCCCTGAAAATGGGCTCATGTTC